CAAGGGGGTCCCTGACCCACCTATGGGGGTCCCTGACCCCCCCCGGGGGGGTTTGGGGGGAATATGGGGGGCCCTGACCCACCTATGGGGGGCTTTGACCCACTATGGGGGTCCCTGACCCACCTATGGGGGTCCCTGACCCCCCCCGGGGGGGTTTGGGGGGAATATGGGGGGCCCTGACCCACCTAAGGGGGTCCCCAGCATGTCTGGGGGAGGCCCTTGAGCCACCCCAGGGGGTCCTTGGACCCCTCCCCAGTGCCCCGTCCCAGTTCCATACTGGTCCCAGTAACTCCATCCCAGTTCCATACTGGTCCCAGTAACTCCATCCCAGTTCCATACTGGTCCCAGTAACTCCATCCCAGTTCCATACTGGTCCCAGTAACCCCATTCCCCCCCAGGTCACCCGTTCATCATGACCGTGGGTGACTCCCAGTGCCATACTGGTGCCATACTGGTCCCAGTAACCCCGTTCCCCCCCAGGTCACCCGTTCATCATGACCATGGGTGACCCCCAGTACCATCCCAGTTCCATACTGGTCCCAGTAACCCCCTCCATCCCCAGGTCACCCGTTCATCATGACCGTGGGTGACCCCCAGTACCATACTGGTGCCATACTGGTGCCATACTGGTCCCAGTAACCCCCTCCATCCCCAGGCCACCCGTTCATCATGACCGTGGGTGACTCCCAGTGCCATACTGGTCCCAGTAACCCCATCCCAGTTCCATACTGGTCCCAGTAACCCCGTTCCCCCCCAGGTCACCCGTTCATCATGACCGTGGGTGACTCCCAGTTCCATACTGGTGCCATACTGGTGCCATACTGGTCCCAGTAACCCCATCCCAGTTCCATACTGGTCCCAGTAAGCCCTGGCTGTCCCCATCCCCAGGCCACCCGTTCATCATGACCGTGGGTGACTCCCAGTTCCATACTGGTCCCAGTAACCCCATCCCAGTTCCATACTGGTCCCAGTAACCCCGTTCCCCCCCAGGCCACCCGTTCATCATGACCGTGGGTGACCCCCAGTTCCATACTGGTGCCATACTGGTCCCAGTAACCCCCTGGCTGTCCCCATCCCCAGGTCACCCGTTCATCATGACCGTGGGTGACTCCCAGTTCCATACTGGTGCCATACTGGTGCCGTACTGGTCCCAGTAACCCCGTTCCCCCCCAGGCCACCCGTTCATCATGACCGTGTGTGACTCCCAGTGCCATACTGGTCCCAGTAACCCCATCCCAGTTCCATACTGGTCCCAGTAAGCCCTGGCTGTCCCCATCCCCAGGTCACCCGTTCATCATGACCGTGGGTGACTCCCAGTGCCGTACTGGTCCCAGTAACCCCGTTCCCCCCCAGGCCACCCGTTCATCATGACCGTGGGTGACCCCCGGTGCCATACTGGTGCCATACTGGTGCCATACTGGTCCCAGTAACCCCTGGCTGTCCCCCCCCAGGTCACCCGTTCATCATGACCGTGGGTGACTCCCAGTTCCATACTGGTCCCAGTAACCCCATCCCAGTTCCATACTGGTCCCAGTAACCCCCTGGCTGTCCCCATCCCCAGGTCACCCGTTCATCATGACCGTGGGTGACTCCCAGTGCCCCATCCCAGTTCCATACTGGTCCCAGTAACCCCTGGCTGTCCCCCCCCAGGCCACCCGTTCATCATGACCGTGGGTGACCCCCAGTACCATACTGGTGCCATACTGGTCCCAGTAACGCTGTCCCTCTGTCCCCCCCCAGGCCACCCGTTCATCATGACCATGGGTGACCCCCAGTGCCCCATCCCAGTTCCATACTGGTCCCAGTAACCCCCTCCATCCCCAGGTCACCCGTTCATCATGACCGTGGGTGACTCCCAGTGCCATACTGGTCCCAGTAACCCCCTCCATCCCCAGGTCACCCGTTCATCATGACCGTGGGTGACTCCCAGTGCCCCATCCCAGTTCCATACTGGTCCCAGTAAGCCCTGGCTGTCCCCATCCCCAGGTCACCCGTTCATCATGACCGTGGGTGACTCCCAGTGCCCCATCCCAGTTCCATACTGGTCCCAGTAAGCCCTGGCTGTCCCCATCCCCAGGTCACCCGTTCATCATGACCGTGG